CTTTTCTTAGGGAGGGAAATTGAAAAATATAGATTTAGAACAGAGTAATTATTTTAAATTGAATAATATTATTTTATGAATATTGTTCACTTTTTAATGTGTAACATCTTTTAAACATAAAACATAAAAACATATAACATAAAAAGGAATTTTATGTTATATCTTTTAAACATATAACATAAAAAGGACTACAATCCTTTAACCATGAATACCATAACTAACGTTTGATAATTTGAAGAGTAAAATACAATCATTAGTGAAGAGAAATCAAGAATTTTAGATAAAAAATATTATCCCACAATCATAAAAATTTGTATAAATAGCTATAAAGAAAATCCAGCGTATAAAAACGTAAACATTTTCTCCTCTATTGCGAAGCTTAGCTTTGTCGAGAGGCATATAAATGCTTACACTTGGAATCCCTAAAAGACAACCCTTAGCGCTAGCTAGTGAAGAGGACATGATGGGTTCTTTAGTCTACTATGCAATTTCACCTCCATTTTTATACTCCGTGGGCTGTACCTTTGAAAAACTTTCGAATACATAATTCGTGGATTAACAATGGGTAAAAGCATGATGTTTATGAAAATCATGCCTTGACTTTCTTGAAGACTGCAATTTCGTCAGAGACGTCAATGCCCATCCTTAACGACAAGGTTAAAATAAAAGAAACTCCATTTTTTTTGCAATACGACCTGATAGAATTGTGTTGACAACAGCTATTGTGAAATATTGGACGAAAAATAAATCAGGTCCAAAAATTTCATTCTAGAGTGTCCAATTGGCTTTGTTGTTTAAAAAGGAAATTTTCGAGGCTTCACAGAAAGCCATGTTGTTTGAACTCTATATTAATCCAAAGTATTACTTCACACTCCGGATGGCAACCTCTGACTAGGAACAGAAAAATCAGATTATCAAAATTCAAGAGGACTTGCATGTTCTAAATAAAATTTCGAATTTTAAAGAAATCCAAAAATAATTTCCGAAAACCCTACGCACTTTTAATGGACAGCAGAAAAGTGACTCCACAAAATGTGTTACTTGCGTATTTAAACTATCCGAATTGCCCCTAAGCAAGCTAAAAGCATGCCTTCGTCCAAAACCATTTTTAGGGAAGGTTTACTCTATTCTCTTTATATATGAAAGTGAACGCCGATATCTGACCTGTGGTAGAATAACCATTCTAGTCCTGTGGATATTACGTCTCAGCCCCTGGTGCGTTCCGTCTAATTCAGTTGTTAAAATTTGTAAATTACTTTCTTGAATGAATAAGAAGACACGTCATTTACAAATGAATGAGCCTTATCATCATACGTTTTTATCTATGATTGCTCAGTTCCTATACTCTAGTGGAAACATTTATTTATAATTAGGATAATGTCACTAATTTTGCATAATGCAACGTGAGCGGCCTTAGGATATGCGAAGCTTTCCCGGAATAAACAGATTCGAGGGACTATTTAATATCGAGGTAAATGGCTATCTCGCTAAATTCGAGAGATAACGATAAGATTACGATGGCTTTAGAGATAATTTTTTTGTCGTTGAATTTAGAGATAAATTACCAAACGTAACCGCACTAGGCGATCATTTGGGAGAGTTTGGCCCGGTGCCGGTATAACTATAATTAAATAATTGGTTAAGCGGTTTGTGGAGTCACTTTTGTAAACGTACTTGTAACCGTATCTGTCCCTTTATAGGTAATTTTAACTGTATATCTCTTCGAGCATTTAGGAGAAATGGAAGCTACCGGAAATTTGCCGGCGGCCTCGAGGAAACTACATGACATTACATAAACTACATACACAAATCTCCCCACGGTGTGCTTAGGTGTGCTTTACAGTGTGTTGTTTTTGATCTTCTTCGTAAGTTGGAGTGTGTTTGTGCCCTGTCATACTGAGAAAAACCTCTAAGAGTGCTTTTGTGGGAAGTTTTAGAACTGTAAAACGTCCCATTTGGGAAAATAAATTTTATCAAGCTATCATCAGTTGTGTGTGCATTCAATAAATTATGAACCTGTACACACGTAACGACATAATTAAACGCATTACGTTAGAACTGGCTTAATTGTAATCATAATAGTATTATATTAAAGTAAAAATTTGTTTTGATGCAAGTATAATAAAAATAGTGTAAAAGTTCAGAAATTTCATTTAAGGTTGTTCTGGGATATCTTGACACCTTAAGGGAAAATTATGAATAACTGGTTGATATTTAAGGATTTTATCATTTACTTTTACAGAAAATAATTATTCCTGCATTAGAAACACATTATGAAAATTTGGCTTACCTGAAAAACATCATAGGTCATATAAATGCAATGAAAAACATAAAAGCCAGATGTCCACTTCTCCCTTAATTGCGGGAGATCTCGACAGGTATCTACGGGACGGCAGCTACAATTCAGAACAATGGCTTTTTTTTTTAAGAAATAAGGACAACGGTCTATGGAAAAGAATGATTGACGGACTAAACACATATTAACGATGCACCAATATATATCCTCCCTTTTAACTATGTACATTTGTTGCATGTAGACTGGGGTTGATTCCCATTTTGTACACACGCCTCATGGAACCACGTACTACACTCTCCAACACATTTTACCGGTGTCCGCCGATAACATCGCGGCGAAAACATCGCGGACGAAAACGTCGCGAAGAAAACAACGCAAGGAGAAAACGTCGTGCTACAAAACATCGTGGGAGAAAACATCGCAAAGAGAAAACATCGCAGTTCTAAAACATCGTGGTACAAAACATCGTCGTCGAAAATAAAGCGGTTCAAAAACTTCGCAGTTTGAAAACATCGCCGTCGAAAATATCGTGGTAAAAAGTAAAGTATCTACAAATCATCGCATGACGATAACATCGCAGACATTCTTTTTTCGGGTTTTAATAATTGGAAATGGATATTCCCATAATGATTTGTGAGCGCAAGATGTAAACAAGGATAATTTTTACTTTCACATTTTTTAAATAACTAATAAATTTTTGCTGAAAACGTAAGAAGGAAATTTAAGCATAAATAATTAAATGCAACTTATAGCTTATACTTTTCATGAAAAATTACCAGTAAAAGCATTACAAAAATTATTTATTAATGGCCTTTGTTAGTTAACTATGTCGGTTTAAAATTCCATTAAGTGCTATAAGTTGCATTAATTTTCTATGCTTAAATTTCCTTTTTATTTTCTCAGCAAAAATTTATTAGTTAATAAAAAATATGAAAGTAAAAATTATCCTTCTTTCCATCTTGCGCTCACAAATCATTATGGAGATATCCATTTACAGTTATTAAAGAATGTCTCCGAAAAGCATGTCTGAAAAAAGCATATCTGCGATGTTATCGTCATGCGATGATTTGTAGATACTTTATTTTTTACCACGATATTTTCGACGACGATGTTTTTAAACTGCGAAGTTTTTGAACCGCTTTATTTTCGACGACGATGTTTTGTACCACGATGTTTTAGGACTGCGATGTTTTTTCGTTGCGATGTTTTCTCCCACGATGTTTTGTAGCACGACGTTTTCGCCTTGCGTTGTTTTCTCCGCGACGTTTCCGTCCGCGATGTTTTCGGCTGTAACCCATTTTACCCACTTCTGTGCGGCAGTATCATCAAAATAGTAAGTACCCACCGCACTCGCCACAGTAATTTCCACTGTCTTTGAGATCCCTCGAGTTACTGGTTTGAGTTCCTCCCTGACGTCTAGGTGTTTTACTGCGCAGTTGACTCCTGTATTCTGCGGATGTTATAATGGCTGATTCTTATTTTTTCTCCTATTCCGTACAGAGTGATTGTGTACTACTGGTACTGGGGATAATTCCGAAAATGATGTCGAAGCTGATGCAGGAGATGGTGATGATGACCTCTGGAGGTTATCGTCTTCCTCTACTATAACTGGAATACTGCCATTTGTAGTAGACATCAGTTCATATTCAAACACATTGTCTTCCAAAATATCGGGATTGTATGGGTATATTTCACATTATCGAAAGCCATTGGCAAAATTGCCTGACTCGACTGTGCAAATAAAATGTTCCTGCTCAAAAATTTCAATTTATGTTTACAATTAAATGTTAAGGTTATTATATATTTAGATAATATTTATAATCATTATAAATTAGATATATTTAATAACTAGATTTTTTCACAGTAACGTTAACAGGGGTTTATGAAAGAATAAATCCTTCATTTCCAAATACATTTATAATAATTTAATAAATATTTATGTATTTTATGCTTTTTACAAGGATAATGCATACTCATATAGTATTTAATATTTTTCGGAAGTGCAAATCTTAAATTTCTGTGTATTCAGTATATTTTTCAAGTAAAGTAATTAACAGTAATGTAGCATATATCAGAATTTTTTACATATGAAATATGTATAAATTGAATGAAAATTAGATGTATTATTTTTTAATATGCACTCAAACGTCAGTTTTGCCTTGAAATTTCTCCATGAAGGCATATTTTCCTTTAGGCATATAGCTCTTGCATGCATTACCTTATTTAAAAAGCTTAACCTGACCTATGTGCCTAATTACAAAGTATTTGAACATCCATAATTTTATATTTACACTCAGTCATCAAGTTTCAAACTTTTGACTCAAAACATGTGTTTGGATACATTCATTATCAAATTCAAATTTTTTAGTAAACATATTTTCGGGTAGCATTCAATACCTTCCTTAGCGATTATGCCCAGTTTAATAGTTCTCTGATAATATAATAAATAACAACTTTCCATTTCACATTTAAACACTAATTTCATTGTCATCGGATCACAATCTTAATTTCCTTACTCTGCATAATATCGCTTCATTTTTAAAAGCAGTTAAAACAACTAATTAATCTGAATTCACAAATACATACATTATACAAGTAATTAAAACTATATAAATTATACCAATTTTTCACGTTTATACTACTTAGTTGTAAGGAAACTGAAGTTTAAAGAGTGTTATATTTTTCCGAAATTTTGACATTTTAAATGTATCTTAAGGTATTTTTCATTCTTTACGCATAACATGAACATTTTGCAATGATCATTTGAAAATAAATACATTTCACGTTATGTCCGTGAGCATGCGCATAACATGCCTTCCGTAAGGAGCCGCTCACAGCCATCCCTGTTTTGAGCCGCTAGTCTTGTGGAGTAGCTCGGAATATGGATATGCCTTACAGTACGGTATGGAAAATCTTATGAAAAATTATCAACTTCTATCCGTACAAGATCAGCCGTGTGCAGGAGCTACTGTACCCCGACCATGATGAGCGACTGACTTTTGCTGCAAAATGAAAGGTAATTTCCGTATTGATTTGCATTTGTTAACACTCTATTTTCTATTACACAGCGCCAAATATTCCCCTAGCGGTGACTTTTGGAACTAATTTGTTTTTTCGCGGAATCCTTCGTCTCCCGTCTTGTTTAATCTTCCTACAAAATGTGGCGTCATTATCGCAAATAGATCGCGCTACAGAACACTTTGAGCACTGTCAGTTTAATTATGTATGGCCACCCAGTATTTAGATTTGTGAATATTGTTGATTATTCAAATTTATTAGTTAATGATATTTTCTATAGAAAATGTTTCTTCTGATATTTTACCAGTGCTGCTTTATGTTTCAGGTTATGCTTCTGTGAAAGAATTAAAGCTGGTAAAATGCAATATTTGCCGGAACTGATTGCAAAGTGTTCATAGATAAAGCAGATGATATATTTTTGGTGTCTTTAAAGAATCAGATAGGCGGAAACTAAAACTTTACCATCTAAAGTTGCTTTATTAACGTCTTCAATTGTACACTTCCTTATTTGGTGAAATTCTTAAAAACAATGGAAAATACATTTCTTATGTCAGAAAAGCAATTGGGTATTTTATATAAGTTATCTCGCATACAGTTCGGTCGAATGAACTTTAATTTAACAGATTCTTGCATTTGTGGAATGACTTATCTGTTTGATAAATTGCCAAAAAAATTTAAATAATTATGCAAAATATAAAAATGAAAAAATTAATATATAAAAGTTAAAAAACTTACCAATTAATTTTAGTTAATAAGTCACAATTCTGCATAAATTATGCATAATATGTAGCATGTGTGCATATGGTACAGCTCCAAGTTTTATGAATCTATTTTTAATAGTGGAATAGGCTTGTAATTTGAGGAAACCACTTTTAAAAAAATGAGCCTAATTGCTTACCTCTTGAATGGTTTGGAAAAGTGACACAACATAAAATTGGAGCTGGCACAAATAGAAGGCTGTCCTTCTTATGAATGCAATTAGCATTTAATTCTTTGAATTTTTCTTTAAAGAGTTATTTATAGCATAAAATGCTAGTAAGTTTATCTTTACTATCAAATTTTCTAACATTTAAGGAATTTTTAATTCATTTCCCTGTTTTAACAAAACTAAGATATCCAGTTTTTATTAGTGAAGCGAGTAAAGAGAGATGATTATTTCTATTTGCTTCCTGAAAATTCATATAGCTGATGTGACGGTAGCGGCATGGAATTTTACAAAATATTCTGCTGTTAATATTTATTTTACTATTAAGGAAATATTAAAAAAAATTACACCCATAAATATATTGAATTTTTCCCCTTATGTGGATTTAATATTATTTTAGAATAAATTTGATTCAGATTACATAAATGGATTCCATTTTTATTAAAATTACAGAAATAAAGATTGCATGTAGTAAATCGCAATGATATTTTTAGTTACATAAACAGAGTATAAATGTTTTTAAATTATTGAAGATATGCATTTTTACCGCCTGTGAAAATACTACAATATGAAAAATTTAATGTAAATTATGCTACCAACTCTCACGTTTTTAATTTTACTTATGCTTATTTTAAGAGAAAACCATTATTTTCAGCAAAGTTAAACTTCGCGATTGTAGTGAAGAGACGCCACGAAATAGTCAAATGATCGACTTCCAAAACTGATTTCGCTACAAGGCTATGATAGAGTCGGCGAAGAATTATGACAAACGTTAACATCGAAATACAAATGTTACCGAGCCCTTGGCTTTGAGTAAAATTCTTAATGGAGGACTTCTTTTCCCCATTTTAATTAGAGCATTACTAACTAATATAGCTTTAGAAGTTAACCGACTGTATGATGCCCAATATTATAAAATAACGGATTTATTAACGTTTTTAAAGAAAGAAATCGAATCTAGAAAACGTACATTTTTTTTAATTAAATCGATGGGCTGCGATAATATTTATCCAAAAAAATACAGATAAATATGTTCGCGCAAATAAACAAAATAAATAAAAGTTCGTATCATACGAAAATAAAAATAAAAATAAAAATCTAAGAAAACAGTCAACAGTTGCGGCTTTCAATACATTTGTTGAAAATGTATGAGTTTTTTACTTCCTTGTACAAAGTAAAATGGAAGTATTGTAATCGCAAAAAGTTTCAGGCATTATATTTCAACACAAATATCCATTTTCACCGCTTTCGAATGCAATTTCAGGATGTTTTCGCGTGACATCAGTACGTAAGGACAGAATAAAGGACTCATATTCCCCCAAAAAATTCTAAAACTAATTTAAAATGAATTCTGAAGAGAATTTTTCATGGTGTCTCTCGTATAACTCAAAACCGAGTAGCCTCAGAACGTTGAAATTTTGTAATATAGGACTGCTATAACATGTTGATGTGCACCTCGTATTTTGGTTGCAATCGACCGCACCAAAGTTATATAAATATATGTATATATATATATATATCCACTCTGTTACCCGGCTCAGTGATCTCAGTTTCTTTACTCTTATATGTTTGTAAATTGTACATTTTTTGCTTTAAAAATGATTGAATTAAGTTGTTCTTATCTTCCGGTTAAGGTTTTTATGCCTTTAGTAAATCTGTATGCAATATTTTTAGAATTATCAACAATTTTGAAATTCTTTAAGTGCCGCTAAGCCTAATAATGTTTTTGATGGCGGCCATTGCTTGTTTACATTTGAAACAGCAGACTAGTGGATTTGTTGCTAATCTAGAGAAACTTAGCTTCGCAACAACAAAGATAACGCCTTCGTTTATTATTGCCAATTAAATCATGCTTAATCCTTTCTGGAATTTTTTCGAGGAAATATGTGTTTAAGATTTACTTCATAATTTTCAATACAGACATTTTGATTTTTTATGTATTTTGCCTTGTCGCGAAGTGAGATCTGAATTAATTGAATAAGAAATACTGAATCGTCTGTGAAAAACTGTTTCTTTTTTGTTGTTGTTCTTTGCTTAATTTCTTTTATATATCGTTTTATTTTTATTATAGTATTTGAATAGAACATGCGGCAACGATTAGATAATTCTTAAGATGATATAAATTTTGTGCATTCTGAATTAAATACTGAATGAAATGTAACGCTATTAAGTGAACTCAGGACCAAAATGTCGCTATGGTAAACAGTGAGTTTTAAAGAGTGCATTTATTCTATTATGGCTTATGCGCTATCGAGGAAGTAGATTTAATTCAATCCAATAAGTTTGAATCAAATGGAAGAAAAAATGTGTATAATTTAATATTCCGTACAAAGAAGTCATGTAATGCACACATCAGACTTTTTGTGATAAAGAAACAGATCATTTATCAAACGATCGTAATAAATTTAACATAGCACAAAAGACGGATATTCTGAAAAGAAATGGTAGATGTTTCTTGTGTTATAAAAAGTTCCATACTAAAAAATTATGCATAGTTAAGGTTGAATGTAATGTATGTCACAAAAGGCAACAACACAGAAAGGGGTTATGTAAAAAGGCATATCCAGTTGTAAAGGATTCTTTATGTGAACAGGTTAATTCTATTAATAACTATGAAACAGTATTGACGGCATTAATGCCAGAAAGGAAAGAAATTACAAACGGTAAACAAATTGTTTTTCTACAAACATTTCCGGCCATTGTTTGTGGCACAGGGATCAAAACGAAATTTCGTACCTTACTTGATTCAGGAAGTCAACGAATATTTATTCATGAAAATGTATCAAAGAAATTAAATTTGCCAGTCGTAGATAAAGAAAAATAAATTTACACACTTTTGGTAATAATGTTGCAGTGAACACTACAACATGTAGGGTTAAATTCCAGTTATGTAATATCGAAACCGAAAATAAAAGTTTGACTATTGAATCCTTAGAATTAAATACGTAACGCTTACTGTAGATATCTCTTGCCCAATCAAAATAATTTTAAACCAAAACTAACTCGAACTGAAAGTTGACTCCCTCCGCCTCTTCCTCTGAAGTATTGCGACACAATCTTTTAATAATATTTCACTTGTTAAATTGTAAGGATCTTAAGTTTTACTAACGTTTATTTTATTTTAAATCTTTACTATCACTTCTTATTTTCTACTTCCGGCCAGAATTATAAGCGTTAAGGTTTTTATGCAAAGTTTGTCTGGCGAACGCCAAGTATTTAAGTTGTGGCTTTTTGCCAAACGAGAGGGAGGAAGCAGTTGAGTCAAAGCAGGCCGCTTACCTTAGAAGTTACTTAGTTGCTGTTTGCCTTCCAGGCCAGAGGTTTTAATCCTCTTGATAAATTTTAAAACGTATTGTAGTGTTCACAGTTCTCTGTACTACATACGCTTCCTGTTAATATAAGGCCAATCTTTCACGTTTATTATTCTAAAGTTAAATTAGAGTTTAGTTTTATTTTTACTTTTACGTTAGACCCCAAGTAGCGGGTCAGTGTATTCCGAAGTACGGAAGTTATTGTATATAGAGAAAAATAAAGGGTTTTGTATACCCTTCGTCTGTATCCTGTCTACTTACCACAATTAGTGAACATAGCTTTAGTAAGCTCTCTGTTCCGAGTCAGGTCCTTGTATGTTCCCGAAGAAGATAACAAGGAACATTGACCCTGATAAAATAAGATAAGCCCTCTTGAAGACGCCGTGAAATAAGTTTCATAACTTGTTGAAAAACCACATTGCCTATAACGCTGTTAAAAATCAATTTTCGCACGACATAGTTCGACGTTACAGTGACCTTGGCCTTAATCGGAAATCAGGTAGTGATTTTGTCCATTAGTTAAACGTTAATAGATTAGTTGAATAAACTTCGAAATCCATTGAAGTTTCCCCGCACAGGTTCGATCCTGTCGACTCATAGAAATGTGTAAGATAAAAAATGTGAAAGCAAACATATAAATTTAATTGTCTATAACCTCCTTTATTTTTTATTTCATTTGAGAACTTCATCTTTCTGTCTTAGAAGTAGCGCCATAAGTCTAAACTGCGTTATTCAAGTTAATCATGCGATCTTACGCAACGCTTACTGCAGATATCTCTTGCCCAATCAAAATAATTTTAAACCAAAACTAACTGAAACTTGACTCCCTCCCTTCTTCCTCTGAAGTAGTGCGACACACACTTTCTCTTTTCGCTTAAGCTTTCATCCTGTTGAGAAGCATTGCTGCAATCATCTATGTACTGTTATGATAGCTTCTACCGGTATAGTATTAAAATTGTGAATATTCTGGAAGTGAGGACGATTGGAGTGCCACGTGAATTGTGGCCATAAAATGTGAATTTAAATAAATGTGGTATTTCATTTGGCTCGACTGTTTCTTCTTCAAAATGGATAGACGCTCTAAGTATCAAGTATCTACGCCATCAGTATTTCTGCGCATTTACATCTCAGTGTTCTTATATCCGTGTTTCCAAAATTTATGCTAATATTGCATATATATATATATAATGCTGTATGATCTTAAATTCATTTAGTGCGAAATTAAGTTATTGTACTACTTGCGCAATTGCTGCAAAGTAAGTTAATAATAACAATTTATTTACTAAATAAAATTGATTATATTATCTCCTAAGATTAATTAAAGTAGAATGATTTGAAAAGAGTGAATCCATACTTAGTAAGTTCTATTTCGAAAGATGTATTTAAGTAACTTGAATGAAAATTGTTAAAAATGTTTAACGGAGACTGGAATTAAATCATGAATAACAATTTTAAAAGGAATAAATTAAAAGCAAGAAATAATTGCAAGTAATCATTGACATTGACCGGAAATTAGTTGACTTTTCAAGGGGAACAAACCAACTCCCGTTCAATGAACAATAATTAAGAAATAAACACGAAGGTGTTTCGTCCTTTACTCGAGCAATAAGGCGATGCCAAACCGGCAATTCAAGTCAGGCCAAACATTTCTGTGAATAGAAGGGAACCAATGCAGAGATCTAAAGAACTTATTCCGATTAAGTATTTTAGCTAATTCAGTTTTGAGTGAAAAGCAATTGCAGTAAAAGTGACATTGCTCGAGTAAGCATTCCCCGACACCCCCCGTGTTTATGCATTTGAGTTCAATATTATTTGTAAAAATTAAACATTGGAAATTGCCATTATGAAATATAATTCAAATTAGTTGAAATAAACATTAGAAAATTACTAAATATAAGAAAAATAATGCAACCTTTGTAAAAAAAATAAAAGAATAAAAAATATATATAATAAGTAAAGTGAATGTACATGAAGATATAAAGGCCAGAAAAAGCATTAATTAACTTACGTTCTTTCTAGTTGGGATTGGGCAAAGTGTTCTCTTCGCGTCTGACTCAGAAGTGATGTGTTCAGAAAATTCTTTAGCGGCAGCGGGGGCTTTGAATTACGAGGCGTATTTGGAAACTAAGTACCGTTTTGAAAAAAAAAAAAAAATAGTAAAACAATTTTTTCGAATCCAATTTTATTTTTACATGAAAATACATGTCTTAAACTATTTTTCAACATAGTTTCCGCCAATGATCAAACACTTTTCATAGTGGGTGACCAGTTTTTGTATACCATCGTCAAAGAAACTTCCCGCCAGTTTCGATAACCACGTCTCCACAGCACTTTTCGTGTCATCGTCAGATCCAAAGCGCTTGCCACCAAGCTCGCGCTTCATGTGCAGGAACAAGTGATAGTAGGACAGCGCCAAGTCGGGGCTGTACGGCGGGTGATCGAACTGCTCCCAATGAAACTGTCGAATTAACGATTGAGTGACACCAGGAGTATGGGGCCGAGCATTGTCATGGAGCAACACAATTCCTTTACTGAGCATTCCTCTTCGTTTGTTTTGAATGGCACGCCTTAATTTTGTTAAACTCTCACAATATCGTGCCGCATTAATGGTTTCACCTCTGGGAAGAAATTAAGTAAGCAAAACGCCTTTCCTATCCCAGAAGACAACGCACATGATTTTTTGTGATAACATTGTCACTTTGAACTTTTGTTTTTTCGGAGAATGAGTGTGTCTCCACTCCATCGATTGTTGTTTCGATTCTGGTGTGAAATGACACACCCAAGTTTCATCACCTGTCACAATTTGGTTTAAAAGTTTTCTCCCTTATCACTGTACCGCGTGAGAAATGTCATGGCGCTACCAAGTCGCTTTGTTTTGTGAACATCAGTGAGCATTTTTGGAACCCATCGGGAACACAGTTTGCGATAATTCAAACGGTCAGACACAATTTCGAACAAAACAGTACGTGAAATTTGTGGAAATGCCTCTGAAAGAGTTGTCATTGTGAAGCGTCTGTTCTCATGAATTGCTTCATCAACTTTCCTTACCAAATCATCGGTGACAACCGAAGGCCGACCACTCCGAGCCTCGGCGTGGACATTTGTTCGACCTGCATTAAACATTCTTACCCACTTTCTCACCATTCCATCACTTATCGCGTATTCACCGTAAACTTCTGTCACTTGACGATAAAATTTCGGCCGATTTAACATTCCTCGCGTTCAAAAATTTAATCACGGCACGAATCTCACAGTCAGCGGGAGAACTAATTGTCTTAAACATTTTGAATGTGCACAGCAAACTGAAAACACAACATAGAGCAACCAAAATGGCTACAATTGAAAGTCAGTGAACAAGAAAGACTAGTGCGCATGCGCGGGGTGCCTACCACAGCGCTGCGACGGCGCTAGAATGAAACGGTACTTAGTTTCCGAATACGCTACGTATATAAGTCGGTAAGACTTGGTGCGGGAGGGACTAGGAATTCTTGAGGGACGTTTGCTGTGGAGCTCTTATTTGAGTGAAACCTTCTGTTAAAATTTTTTGTAAATACTAGTGAACAAAATAATACTAGTATTTCACTAGTATTTATAAAATAATTCACTAGTATTTATAAAATAATTCACTAGTATTTACAAAACATTTTAACAGACGGTTTCACTCAAATAAGAGCTCCACAGCAAACGTCCCTCAAGAATTCCTAGTCACTCCCTTTCCCATAAATTACTTCACACAAGTCTTACCGACTGATATAATTCAAAGCCCCCGCTGCCGCTGAAGAATTTTCTGAACACAACACTTCTGAGTCAGACGCGAAGAGAACACTTTGCCCAATCCCAACTAGAAAGAACTTCAGTTAATTAATGCTTTTTCTGGCCTTTATATCTTCATGTACATTCACTTTTCTTATTATATATATTTTTTATTTTTTATTTTTTGATTTTTTTTACAAAGATTACATTATTTTTCTTATATTTAGTAATTTCTAATGTTTATTTCAACTAATTTGAATTATATTTCATAATGACAATTTCCAATGTTTAATTTTTACAAATAATATTGAACTCAAATGCATAAACACGGGGGGTGTTGGGGAATGCTTACTCGAGCAATGTCACTTTTACTGCAATTGCTTTTCACTCAAAACTGAATTAGCTAAAATACTTAATCGGAATAAGTTCTTTAGATCTCTGCATTGGTTCCCTTCTATTCACAGAAATGTTTGGCCTGACTTGAATTGCCGATTTGGCATCGCCTTATTGCTCGAGTAAGGGACGAAACATCTTCGTGTTTATTTCTTAATTATTGTTCATTGAACCTAACGGGAGTTGGTTTGTTCCCCTTGAAAATTCAACTAATTTCCGGTCAATGTCAATGATTACTTGCAATTATTTCTTGCTTTTAATTTATTCCTTTTAAAATTGTTATTCATGATTTAATTCCAATCCCCGTTAAGCATTTTTAAAAATTTACATTCATGTTACTTATTTACATCTTTCGAAACAGAACTTACTAAGTATGGATTCACTCTTTGCAGATCATTCTGCTTTAATTAATCTTAGGAGATAATATAATCAATTTTATTTAGTAAATAAATTATATATATATGTAATAATAAAATTCCATAGTCAAAAATACACTTAAAATTCTAACTGTATGTTCTTTTCATTTTTAATGGCGACGGTCTCTTATTTGAAAGTACGTGGAATTAAATCCACAGCCCCGTAGTCAAGTTGTTTTTCCCGCCTTTTCTGCACGTACAGCTATAGAATGTTCTGGAGATATTTAAAGCGAACTGGAATGGCTGACTAGGCTGACGTCATTTCTTGGAAGCTCCGCCTTTCCAGAAGCTATAAAAGGACTCGCAAAGGAATATCGGGGTCTTTTCTTTAATGTAACGATGCAGTAAACTTCATACAAAATGTTATTTGCAATTCTTTTTTATTTACTGCGGAGATCAGATTTTTGTAATTGCTATTTCACCTGAATAATAATAAATGGATCCTGTTTTTTAAACTTATCGTCTGATACTTTTGAGCTACAACTACATCTATGATTCTTCACCAATCTATTTATTCCGAACAAAAGCTGGTACGTCATATATATATATACATATAATTTGTCAGTCTCACTAATAGTATCTTGTTTGTGTGTGTAATCTTCGCCACATTTTGTAAAATTTTATAATTTTCAATTATATCGTGTTTTGACCATTGCAGTCTGCCCATATCGTAAATTTAATCACCTTAAAATTTTACTTTTCGTTTAGAATTTGAGATAACGGAACGTAATTGCTTAGAATTTTCAGTACTCAATATTAACCAATTCTTAGACGTTTCCTTGATAAATTTCTTTACATGATTGTCGTTTTGTAAACTTGATTTATACTTTCAGTAATTTTAACAATCAAAAAAAATGAAATTAACTACATATACTTAATTATTTTAATATTTTAAAAGTTAGGCAAACCGGTATTAATTCATAATTTTTTCATTTATCCAGATGCCTGCAGAAATGGAATTTGAAGATATCTTGGAGGAAATCGGGGGTAACGGGAAGTATCAAAAACATTTGATTATATTTCTCCTCATACCAGTTACAATGTTGCTTCCAATAATAAATATGAATGTTATCTTTATGGCATCGGTTCCGGATCATTGGTGTTACGAACCGGAAGTTGCAACTTCTAATTTAACAATCGTCCAACAGAAAGCTCTCATCAGTCCACCAAAAATATCCGACTGTTACATGTATGATGCCAACTATACGGAAATTTTTAGGCATGAAAATTTCACAATACAAACAAATTCAGCGCTAAAACATTGTGACAAAGGCTGGCAATATGACAAAACTGATTATGAGTATACGATAGCGACTGAGGTAAGTTTTATATGATTATATAGTACTGTAGAATACGTCATTGTTCCTGAAATGGTGTAACATTTTTTATGTAATTTAGCGTAATTATAATTATGCAATTTTAAAACACTAATTTACATCAATATGTAATTTATTATTTGTTTTAACGTTTATTTCTAAAATACAATCTTCCGTTTAATTCAGGTAATTCTGGTACCTCATATGAAGAGGCTTTGAGCGATGTAGTTTCAATTATTAGTTAAACAGCTCTCGCAGAATTGTTATATATGTAAGCAAGACATAGGGATTGCACTACTATTTCTACTAACTGTACTATATTGTAACTAATGCTTTATTATATTGTACTATATTGTCAAGTGGAGTAATTAATGTTCCCTCTAGTATCATTATGCCTTGCAATATCGTTATGCAGTGGAGTAACAAGTCATTAATATACCCGTATCATTAACAATGAAGTCCTGGTGTACTCTTTTCTTACAGCGTTTTCTGATCCTTTAAGGTCGGTACGCTAATGTACCTATAACACTTACAGTTTAATATCCGGGTGTTTGTTCCTTTCACCGTGGGATTAAACCAGCTTTTTCTTCGGGTTGAAGGAGTTTTAATATGAACAGAATTACCAAAAAGAATTGTACACATGTGTATTAAAGAGCAAGCGTTTTTATCCACATTTATTCAGCGTTTTTATGTTCAGACTGGACATATTTTGATCAAGACTGCAAATTGCGAAACAGTTTCTTTTCAATATTATATTAATCTGCTGATAAGAATATTGTTACGAATTTTGTATGCATGTTAATAATTTTAGTGAAACTATTTGTAAATTGTAGTATCTCTTGCGTAATATAACATGAAAGGACTCCAGAATGGGAAGCATTGCCGGAAAAACAGGGTTGCAGGGGTAGCACATTTAACATTGAGTTAAATGATTATTCGCCAAACTAACGAAACAGCGACAAGTTGTGTCAATGTTTTGGAGACTAATTTTTTTCACAAAATGTCACCAAACGTGACTGTGAAATTTTGGTCCTATACCTATGTGATTGTAATTGGCCCGTCTCCTATGCAACTGTGATCGTATCCAGCCCTTTGAAACTGGAACCGTATTTGACTTTCAGTCGTTTCGAGAAATCGAAGGTACTGGAAATTTCTCAGGGGGGACAGGAAAAACTATATAGTATCAGTTAGTTTAAGTGACAAATTAGCTCGTAGTATTGAGAGTAGTGATAGATGACAGAGTTTACACATTTGAGGTTTCTATTGTCTTGTGTTTAACGTTCTTAGTAGTTTGAAGTGGTAAATCTTGATTGTGTTCTGTCATATTGCAGAGAGTTGTTCGAGTATTTTTGCGAAAAGTTCCACGACAGTAAAATATTCTTTTTAGGAAAACATTTTTCAGGCTTTCATCGGTTCTGTGTATATTCAATCTACTACGAAGCCGTTCCCACAAAACTGTAATAGGCAGATTTTAGAACACATGGCAAAGCATATACTGAATAATGTAGAAAAAAACTAATAATCTTATTTATATGTATGTAATTATTTAGGTTTTCATAGGCATTTTTTAAATCCTTACTGATACTTAAGCACTTAGAATGTTTTAATGTTCTATTGTTGCATTGTCCGTTACGTGCTAAGTCAAATTCCTTATTTACTCAAATACAACTTCTCCCCGTCAAATGTTATGTAAAAGTTCTCAAGTGAATTATGACTACTAGCTTAACTCTTTCCTGAAAACAAACAGAAACAACTACCTAAATTAAGAAGAACTGCATTCTTGACCTTGGGCACCAGAGTATGTCAGCATATGGCCCTGGGCAAGTGGTCAGCTTGTCTCAGGACCCCCAGTGTTTAGTTCCGAAGCGAACTTGATACTCATTTTATCGAACCACTCAAGGGATGAAAGGCTGAATCAACCTTGATCAGCCCGGGAATCGAGCCCCGAACCTGTGGTGCAGCTGCGCGACGCGCTAGAAAATGAAGCTAGATCTCGTTATTTGTCGATTTTTTTTTTTTTTTTTTTTTTTTTTTTTTTTTAAATTTACATCGCCAAAACATGACCGGAGCAACACTGTTTATCTACCAAATGCATCTCCTCGTTGTTCCATTTATTAGAGATTTTACGGCAATATTCTGCATTTTTGCAGAAATTTTGCCTAAGTTTCTTCCATCGCTAGCAAATTCCTCAAGCGGATATTTTAAAATTAAATTTAAGACAAAAAAAATATAATGGATTGTTTACAAAAGCTGTTGGAAATTAGAATACAGCAAAAAGAACGCACACGAAACTGAAGGAACAGTATAAGCATGTTTGCCTGAAGATAGGTTATGCGCACGGTTGCCATAGTTTGGCACATTCTGAAAATTTGGCGACTTCTGAGGTGGTCGCGATAACATGTAAGTACCGCAAAATAGACCTTCTCAACACTTAATGCCAACGAAGTCCGGTTTTATCCATCTTTTATATTTTGCAGGTACATTTTCATTTTCTCTGTCAGTAAGGAAAACCCAAGAAACCTTTCCGTTATGGATGTCAGAGTTAGTCTATCAAGTGTTCAAATAGTGCGTAGTCTATCGTGCGTTATATCTTTCAAACACAGTGTTTGAAATAAAATGTTTGTAATAAAAATTATACTATTAGTTTATTTATAAACTTAAACATTTTCTTCTAAAAATTCCAGTACTGTTATCTCTATAGAGATTTAATACAGTCTACAAAATACTTAATTTTGAAGAAGTAAGGTTACATTTTAGATTAACATAGCTCAGTATGCTAGGTTAATGTAACAAAACAAACAAACAAAAAAAAAAAAAACCCTTAATTTTAACCTGTTACATTTGTAGGGATTTATTTAAGTTACACAACAGTTAATTTTATTTTGAAGCAACCTGCCCTATTACTCTCGGTTTTAACCCAGGCTTTCTTGACTGAGTTTAAATAAGTTAGTGCGCGTGTGTTCAAAAAGAAAAAGATGAGATAGAAAGAAGTTAGAATTTAAGAAAATGTTTTGGAATGCGATTTTGGAGTATCTTCTGTCTGCCTGAAGGCACCATTATTATCTCTCATACACTAATAATTACATTTCTGTGGCGTTGAGCGATTCTAATCACTAGGCTTGTTTACGCCGGCTTTTACGAGTCAGAGCCTGCCTACGCGTTAGTTAATCTGTGAGAAGCCGTTACGTTAACTTAATTCTTTTCTAATTTACTTAACTTATTACCTTTTGAGTTGAACCAAACTTGTTGACTTTTATAAGACGATTTGGTGACAGACGTAAATAATGTTGAGTAAAAAAAAAAACGTTTTTGACACCCTTTCTCTGGACTTAGTCGTACTTAAGGCTAATTCCTTATACCTTCTACTAACGTCTAATTAATTTATGCTCGCTAACATTACGAGACGTTATACCTTTATGGCTTGTTAAGGGTCATTATGTATGAAAAATGCGTTTTATCACGATTTTATGTGCGTTAATTTACTGCTTATTACTATTTGTATTTTTAATAATCTAATTTAATTTCAATTAATATTTTAGTGGAATCTGGTCTGTGACGACGCATATTATCCCAGCTTAATTCTTACACTGCATAATCTTGGAAGCATCATCGGAACACCTATTTTAGGATTCTTCGCAGATAGGTACTGTTTGCATCTATTATCTAATTTATCAATAATCCTTTAAGCAAAAGTGGTTTATTATTACTTAATTTAACTTTCGATTTTAATATAAAAATAATTAATAGCAGCTTAGCTTTCAGAATACACCGGTACCTTGACATTCGTCCACTTTAGAATATGTCCAACTTGGTGTATGCCCAGTATGAATGCAAAAAAGTTTGTTTGGTATATATGACATTTGTATGGAATTTGACTCGAGTTTAATGAGTCACGTCTCCTCGCATTACGTTTGTTTATTTCTTTCGAAACAATGCTACGACCAATTTTGCACAAAAACGTCGTCATTAATCTACGGCAACCTCTCATGCCACAATTTTGCCAAATAAGTGGATGTCAAAAACTTTGTGGAGAAGTGCCATCTCAACAAAACTAAAACAAATCGTAACGGCACCACTGTCTATAATGAACAAATAGTGCCAAATTTCCGAAATATCCTGAGGAGATAGATGGCAGAAGCAAAGATTTTCGGGCAGATTGCTCCTAAACCATGTCTAGGGACCTGAGAGGAAAAATAGGATAGAAAAGCGATAAATAAATTTGCTAAATTTTATTTACAGCATATGCAGGGGTGCCATAAAAATTATCCAATATATTGTAGAGACATAAGGCATTTTTGAAAGCAGGAGAAGTGAAAAATGAGCAATGCCTTCCCCGGGACCTCTCGAATACGCGTCGAGCGTGCTGACCAGTACACGACGAAGGCATGTTAAGAAGGCAGGAGAAATACTTTATATACTCACCCTTTTAAAAGGCGACTGGGTTTTTAGGGGACCCAAAGTCGCCAAATCTTGGTGGTGAAGAATCATCATTCACCATTATGGCATCAGAGACATTAGGTATTTTTGAAAGCAGGAGAAGTGAAAAATGAGCAATGCCCTCTCCCAGGTCTCAAATCACGGACCTCTCGAATACGCGTCGAGCGTGCTGACTACTACATCACGAAGGCATGCTGAGACGACGGGAGAAATATCTTACAATATGAGCTCCTGGCGACCTATCCGCTCAACAAGTCGAAATGAAAATTCAGAAATTTTATTTGAAGATTATTTTGTTATGCGCTCGAGAATGTTATGATTTAAGAGAATAGGGCTCTTATAGTCGGTTTCAGTTAAACCGTTTCGCAGTAATCGAATGGCAACACCTACTTTTATTGAAAAAGATAATGCATTACACGAAGGAGATTGTTCACAACCAAGAGGAACGTAACATCGCAGGAAGAACCTTCATAACTTCATGTTTTATGGCATCTTTCCTTTCTGACGAATCTTGCGGATTTGATGAGTACTCTAATTTCAGAATACCCCAGAATTAGAAATCCATCGGATAGATGACTCTCTTGCACAAGTTGAAATCTTGCAATTTCAATAAAAGAATTTCCTTCTCCTCGGATTCACGGGAGAATGATGTATACACCTGGGTACCTGGGGCGAAGGCTCTACCCCTATCGAACAAAATTAAAAATTACTAATTATGTGTGTATTAACACAAAGAAAATTTCTAAATTTTAAAAAACAGTTGAGCTAGATGAAAAAATTTAAAATGAAAATTTATTAATAACAAGTTAAAATGAGGTAAGAATTTAAAGGTTTAGTGAAACAGAATCGACTAATGGGGGAAGCATCTAGTAAAACCATTCGAGCCGGTGACAAATATCCTGAAAGGGAGACATACAACAATTGAAAGAATAAAACAAGAAGCAGGTATAACTCCTTCGGTGAAAAATATAAAAGGGGGAAAGAATAAAAATGCGAGTAAATAATGGACAAGTTTGAGGCATTTGAAATATTAAATTGACACTGGTCCTATCAAAAGGCATAACAAGATACAAAATATGTGCATATAAAAAATGAGACGAGATATATACATAATATAATAAGCATGGTTGCAATATATAATACAAATGCTGAGTAATACTGCAGATAACAGTAAGAAAACATCAAACACTATTTACAAAGTATGGCCATAGAGCGTTTGCAGTTAGCAGAATCATTAATGTCATAATTACGTATTTTAATGGCAGGCTTTTGAATATTTTTTTGGCTTTCGAAAAACTTCCTTGTTAATTTACAATATATAGTTTTAAGCTGGTCCATTTTCAGTTAAAAATGGATACGGTTATTACGAATGTATCAGGATGAGTTTGAAATTTGACGTAATATACGATTTTGGGCTATTTGGAGCCTCTTTCTATCCGATTTGCAAGAATATGCCCATACTGGGAAAGCGTAACGCAGCATGAGACGGAATACAATTTATAAATGAGTAACTAACTCGTCGTCTTTTCATAGAACGCTGTTTCGAACAATTCAGGGAATTTGTGTTGCTTTACGAGCTTGAAACTTCTGTAAGAGAGATGTTATGTGTGGGGTCCATGTGAGAGAACTACTGAGGATCACCTCGAGACAAGAGACATTTCCCTCTCCTCTCTTCTGGCCCTTTGCGACGCTGTTATTTGTAAGTGTTTTACTCGTTTTTAATTATAAAGTTTTACGCAGGCAACTTTCCTCATAAGTTCCAGCGCCATTTATGTTTTTTCAATGCGCTGATCAAATTGTGCAGAAAACAATGGGTGTTGCCTTTCGAAAATTTCGAAATGTTTTCAATGTAACCGTAGCCGTAAAAATTCTACTTTTTTTTTAAATCATAACATTCTCGAGCTCAAACCTTCAAATAACAAAACCTGAACTTTCACTTCGAATTCTTGAGCGGATTGACCGCTAATGGTTTATATATCTGAGTAGTTTTTTTATGACCATCCTGTATATGCAAGCCAACAGATTTTAAGATGATGAAATTTCTGTTTTGGTGATCAGCATCAATGGTCTCAAACTAGTGGCCTGCGAATACATTTCACGTAAATAAATTCGCGTTATTATGACATTATGAAAAGAATTTAAATAAATTCTTTAAGCTTTAATTAGAGTCAAATTATGTATCATTTTCATAACTTTAAACAAACGTGAGTTAGGCTCCCGAAAATATACAAATAGAGCTAATTAATTTACTCTGTGATATAATATTTATAAAAATATCTGAAAACCTTTTATTCTTACCTGTCAAAAGATAAGCACCCTCAGTTACGAATTTTTTCAGTGGGAATAATCGCTTTGTTAGGAGTATATTTATATGTGAACAATTCCCCCCCCCCGCAGATGAAAATTAAAGAGTTTAAGAAAAGAACCATATAGACCGATTGCATCTACAATTCGTGAAGAAGATATTTTTTAGTAATTTTTCTATAAGGTTGTAAACTTTATAAATAATAATGAATATTTCTCCAAGGTTGCAAACTTTATAAGTAATAAAGAATATAATAAAGAATTTTTAGTTATTTAAATACAGTTATATGTAATTAAGACACAATAACACGCCGAACAAATACTAATTCAGAAGTCAAACAACAAAAATCAACGTTATATTTCAAATTTTCACAGGACTAGTTTTCGATGGTTTTACCGACTAACTACATCGTGCCTGCAAAAGCGCAAAGGCAATATATATATTTTTCTATATATTCTGATATATATTATGAAATCTGATATATGTTTATTATTTTCTAATATCTCCTTTTTTATTAAACTTACTTGATTCAGAATTCTCCAGAATTCCCCTTTTAGGCTTCCATATATAATTCGCACATTTAAATTATTTTAAAATTTTGTATTTTTTAAATATTTTTCATTTTTCAATTTTTTCGAAACGATTTTTTTGTATTATAACGTACAAAATTTGCGCTTTTGCAGCTGACGATGGTGTTTCGGGTAAAACCATCGAAACTAGTCCTGTGAAAATTTGAAAATATAACGCTGATTTTTGTTGTTAGACTCCCCCTAAACAGTTATATGTATGTATTTTTTTTTTTTTTTTTTTTTTTTTTTTTTTTTTTTTGTGTGGTTGTGTGTTTGTGTGCGTCAAATATTTGTCAGTACGTTTTGAATTACAAAGTTCAACCAAAAGAAATTTCCTGCACCTTTTAGATTTCATTATATATAATTATATTAATATATAAAGATATATAATTCGCACATTTTTAATTATTTATTATTACAATTTGTATTTTTAAATATTTTTTCATAAATTTTTTTTCGAAAACGATTTTATATTATAAACTAAAAATTTTTAACATCATCTTAAAGTAAATGTATTTTTATAATCGCATAAAATTAGAATTCTTAAATTCAAATTTTTCTACGATATACATGAATTTACATACTGAAGTGTTTTGAAATTTGACATCTTTGTTTGAGCGATAATAACGCCAAATGGTAATACGCACTTTGTTAAAATTATTTGAAAGTATGAAGGATGACATTTTCTCGCTCGTTTACAATGAAAAAAGAAAAGGAAAATGGGTTACTATAAGTTAAGAAGTTCGCCAAGTAAATTATTCTTCGTGAAAACTGAAAAATATAAGCCAAAATAAATTTTTGAATTTCTCCGTAAATTTCGCACCAAATTTTACAAAATTTAACATTTAGGCATAATTTGAGTCGTAGAATCGAAATTTGGAAAAAAGTCCGATTTTGTGTCAAAATACCTATGTTGGAATGATGCTATATATTAATCTAATATATATCCTAAGTCGCGCTCCGAGACATGAAAAACGCAATTTGAATTTCGTCAATTGCGCCAGTAGAACGGGAGATATAGCATTGCCCCCCTTTTTTTTTCCACTAAATATTGTCTTCTTATTTTATATCATGCTGAGACACTATACAAATAAATATCCCATTTGGAATCCACTAATTTTTAATAGTGATAAAATAACTAGATGTCATGACTGATCTGATCTCAAACTGGCTGAATGCTAAAGGAGCTGCGTTTTGGGGGGGGAGATCCCATATCACCGATTTTTTGCTTAAGAAGGACTATTATTCTCAAAATGGAATTTTGCATCGAATCATTAAAAATACGTCATTTCACTTTTCATTCGATTCTGCTGCCATTCAGCAAAATGAAAT